TCCGAGCCTCCAGCCCACTCCCCGTCCCCGCTCCGAGCCTCCAGCCCCCTGCCCGTCCCCGTCCCCGCTCCGAGCCTCCAGCCCACTCCCCGTCCCCGCTCGGTCCCTACAGCCCACCGACTGTCCCCTACTCCGAGCCTCCAGCCCGCTGTACCTCAGCAGAGAACACCAAGAGTGGGAAAGGGGGAGAAAGGAGAAAATGGGAAATAAACTGACGGAGTGCAGGAGCTCCGGTTGGAACATCCTACTCCGCCACCATCTTGACCAGAGGAATAGTATCTCACAATCACCAGAGTACAATTGGTTATTGGTTGCCTGCAAAAGGTTATCATTAAATTTGTCAGGATAAACCCTATGACTGAGGACACGGCGGTGACAAACTGATAAGGTCACTATAACCAAAGGCTAATGACCTAGAGGCAAACACTGTGAGGACAAGGCAGCTGGTGGGATGTGAATTTGATTCAGAAAAATCTGGAACCTGAAATTCACCTCAGTAATGATGACCAATTTTGTCCATTTAGTGTAAACACCAATCTGGTTCAGTAATGTCCTTTGAAGGAAGGAATTGCTGGTCCTTACCTGATTTGGCCTACAGGTATCTCTAGCCCTACAGCAAAACGGTTGCCTGGAACTAGTTTTGTGATAATGGCCTGAGCAAATTATGCAGTTTTCAGGGCAATACAGAAAGAATGGCCTTACTGACAAAGCCAATATCCCAAGAAAGAAGTGTTATAAAAAATCTGGAAATCAATTGAACTCTTTAAATAACGGGTTTGGGAAGGTACCGAGTGCTCTAGTTTGAGCATTCTGATTATCGACCCTGCACTTAAATTAACCCATCACGCTGAGCCAGACATCACCCACGGTACCACAAGAGCTCCTTTTATTCCTGAGCAGCGACACAACATTCTTGTTCTGAGAGAGGGTGAACAGCCCCAGAAGGTTTGGTCCACTTGGTACCAGTGACTTGGGTAGGAAGGAGGGATGTGGTCCTGCAGTCAGAATTTAGGTAAATGAGGTTGAAAGTTAGCTGGTAGGATGTAAAACCCAGTAATTTTCAGATCTCTCTGTATCACTCCACAGAAAATACAAAGGTGTGAGAGGAGGAATCGTTGCAAAAAAAGCATATCTGACCTTTCCTTTGACATTTGTCACATATCTCGTGTTCCAAAGAAAAAAAGACAAGGATTTTTTTTCCCAGATAATTATTTATTTAACCAAATATCAATGCAGACTTTGGCACTTTGTTACATTGGAATCACATGTCAATACAGCATTCACCAGGATTTTGGAAATTCTCTTTCCTGTTAACTAGCTTTCATATATTTCACTATACACTCAAAGAGATGCTGGTGAATTCCTACTGAACAAAAATATTGGTGCATTGTGCTTCTCAAAGTTTCACAATAGCCGATTCCAAATAAACTGGAACATCATGATGGGTTTGGCGAGCAAGTGTTGTGCCCTGGGCTCCAGACAGCTCCACATCTCAACTGATACTCAGTTAGACCTAGGTTACCACAGACAACTCCACTCTCTGTAGGTAGTAGTGGAGGGGGAGGGGGGGGGGGAGGGGGAGGGGGAGGGGTGGGTTTGCTAGCTTCCTGCTGCTGCTGGCCTCTCAATCTTTAAAAGAACACAGTCAGGGTTGGCTGTCTTGTGCAGCGCTCTACAGACTAGGAGAATGGCCACTTGCAAAAACAAGAGGCCACCATCACTATGGAACTGTTACCCAGCTCCAGGTAATAACATCACTGGCCAGAAAAATCACACAGCCTGGATACCCAAATAACCTCTTCTCAAAAATCAGCTCCAATGCACTTGAGATATTTGCTTGCAGTTTAAAAGGAAACGACATTTGGAGTGGAATTTGATTTGGCAAATCACTTTTAGAAAGGGTATGTCCTCTTGGCTCGAAGCTGTTAGTCTTTAGCTTCCAATGTGCAGCTCACATGTTGTGAAGAGAGTGAAATTTACACACTGGCCACAGAGTCTGATCCAATAATACAGCTGCTCAAATATTACACCATGACTCAAAAAAGTGTGCTTTTCATAAAAGCTGAACTTGTACACTTGAACAGATGGACCTGATGCTGGTGAATTCCTATTGAACAAAAAAATTGGTGCATTGTGCTTCTCAAAGTTTCACAATAGCCGATTCCAACTAAACTGGAACATCATCATGGGTTTGGTCAGCATACACTCTCATCAAACACAGTTGTTTAATGGAATGTTAGAACCATTCTGCTTACATAAATTTCTCGGTTAAAGAAGCTGTCCTGCTTACATAATAAGGTCTATACAGGTGTAGACAATTTCAGGTTTAAAAAAATGCACTTACAGATAAAAGAGTGAACAGCTAGGTTATTAAATCACTGCAAACCAGTTAAAAGGAATGTGCGTGTCTGGGGCAAAATAAAATGAAGAGTTGCCTCCCTTCGATTGTGAAGAGATCGAAATTGTGCTGTGAGATTTCTTTCAACAACATCCGCTAAGCCCGAGTTACTGAGTGGGGAACAGCAAGCAACCTCCTGCCCAGCATCACTCCACCCTTTTGGGTTTGCCCTATACAAGAACAATTGATGATAAAAACGTATCATAACTCTTTGAATCTCTGCCCTTGGCATCTCTGCAGTTCATGAAGATAATAAAATCAAAACAACAGGGCTGTGAGTTGTGAAAGATCTCACCTTGATTCTGATCACTGTGTGCTATCAGGTTCTGCGAGGGCTGGAGATACCAACTTTCATGTTAACATTCTGTACACCAGGATAATTAAAAGGTTTCACAGGGAAGACAGGGTGTCTCCAATTTAGCAGAAGACCTGAACTAGTGGCCTTAGAAGACTATCAGTAATGAATCTAATAGGCAATTCAGGAAAACTTTCTCTACTTAAAAATGGTTAGAATGTGGAACTCATTACCACAGGAACTGACTGAGGTACTTAAGGGGAAATTGACATAAACGTGAGGGAGAAAGGAGCAGAACAATATGCTGATAGTCTTCGATGACGTATAGGAGGACAAGGCTTGTGTGGAATATAAATACAGTGTTACGGGTTGTAGGGGTGACCTGTATCTGGCTATGTAAGGTGGCTTGTACCTGAACACACTAAGTGGCCCATGCCTGCTTATAAGATGGCACACAGAAGCTAAGAAAAACTAAGCAACCTGCTCACACACTGAAATACTATGGTACCTTTGAACAGAACTGCTAGAAGGTCAGTAAAGGAACGCCGTATGTTCCCACCTGAGACAGTTCTGATAAAAGGACGCCTTAGGACAAATAAATGACTAATTCCAGCTTTATTAATGAAAGGGTGGTTGTCCCAGTAAATGAATAACATCAGGTGCTTGATTAGGTCCTCAAGCAGCTGCAAGGATAACGGCTAAAGTTATTTCATCGTAAATAGTTGCCTCTTTGAAGCTACCAGCAATATTAAATAGTTTCTAGCTAAAAATACTCTAATCATAGAAGTTCATTTCAATACATAACCAAGATATAATACACGCCTTTTAAAAACATTTAAGATTAGATGTAAAGATTAACTAGCCTTAGGAGACTCCTTCTCTTATGCCGTGATCAAGACAGATTGCTCACAACCCATAAATTACAAAATGCTAACAGTAGTAGTAGTTTTATAACATCACATTTATAATTAACTTTGTAACAGAACTTAATCTATAGCAATTAATTAAAACTAATTGACATTTTATTTTTACACTATGTAATTGGGACAGTGGGAAAATAAAAGGAGTAACCGAATGTGATAAAAGACAGCACCAAAATACAGTGGGTAACAGAATTTGAACTGTCCTTACATATAAACCAGCCTGAGAAAGACCCGAAGGAGTATAGCCATTAAACTTTTGGAATGTGAATGAATAGGATGCATAGGAAGAACCCAAAGCCTAGAGATTACAATGTCAAGCAGACCCCATAAGATCATGGGAACCTGGGCTGTCTATCATTGATTAGGTGTGCCACAAGATTGGGTGTTTAGATTAGAGGGAAGGACAAGTAACTACGTTGTATTTGATTACTGTAACACATAATGTATAAAAATGCTGTCTTTCTTTATCAAAGCAGTGGGGTGTCATTGATCTATCTTCTGAAGCCACATTCAAGGAAAATACTTTAGCCCTCTCCCTTCATAAACCGCTTTCTGCTTGAATAAACATCTTCCACTTGCATGAATCCTGCCTGCCTCCTGAGTCTTTGTCCCCGTTTGGGAAAAACACGCCTACACAGGGGTAGGGTAGGTTTAGGTAGGATGCTCTTCGGAAAGTCGTTGTGCACTGGATGGACTGAATGTCCGCCTTCCACACTGTGGAGATTCTATGATTTTTATGATAATGGAATAGTGGCATAGAGTAGTGAAGCAAAATAAATGTTTCTGTGCTCTTGTTAATGCAGCAACTATATTTGTCTGGGTGAGTGTGTGTGTGTGTAAATGGCTGCAGAATCAGTGACCACTGAATGTCCCATTGCTGGACCTGCTATCTATCATAGGATTTTGGGCATGTGTAGTTTTATCTGTAAACTGTTTATTTGTAACTTCCGGTCAACAACAATATCTGAGCAGGACAGCTCATTTAACCACATCGAAAGCCATCTAACTGTGATTTTATACAATCAGTTTACACTTTGGCAAAAATGTATTAATAAGCACTCAGTTATTATATATACTGGAAATATTCATTCACTCTCCCACAGTCGAATCAACTTACCATTAGTTCACTGCCACAATTTAAATACAATCTGCTGTGTTAGGGCCACAATTCAGAGTGAGAGCTAACTCCCTCAAGTATAAATAAAAATGTCAGAAATTGACTTCACATGAATATTACTTCTATTTTATGCTGAGATTCCAATAAATTAAATAATTTATTTTTGTAAACACTTCAAGTGATGGTATGAAGATACTGTAGGTTCCTGCTCTACACTGGATCATGGAATGAGTTCAGTGGGAAAGCCCTTTCCTTTGCAAAGCGAGCTACTCAAGGTAGATCTGCCACATCAGCGTTCTCATTAACTTCTTACGGACACTTTTAATGCAATTTGCTTAACCAGGAATAGTCGCTCATTTCTCATCATTAAGATGTACATTATAACCTGTTGCCTTCAAAAGAATTTCACGTTATATTCAAAAATAGTTGCTTTTCTCAGAATGCTAAGAATATCCAAATGCCATCTCCCACAGAATCAGGAGATCTGCAGACCTCCAAATCTAAAAATAGCTGCAATTTAGGCCAGTTCTCTTTTATCAAGTAGATTTGTGCTTGTCGATTAAATAGTGCATCAGCCACTGCCAGAAATGGACGTGAAACAACAGAAGATTGATAGCCATGATACCTGCAGCAAGATAAACAGTAATGACCGTGCTTTCACGTGGCATAAAACACTTGGCGAGTGTAAAGTCTGTTGCAGTTATACTGGCCTGGAGAAGTAAACAGAGATGGATTCCAAGTTAGTGCTATCTGAGCTGAAAAATGCTCAGCACAATTAGCAAAGATGGCTTGCCTGACAGTGTGATTACAGGAATTCTTCATCCCAAAACTTCAGCACCAACTGCTGTTTGGTTGAAGTACATTTCTGGCTTTTGGAACCAAGGCAGGGATTTGCACAGTTTTAATCACTTGCTCCAACTCGACAAAACAGTTAAAATCAAGGCCTCAGTATCTGCTGGAATTCCAGAACCTGCTGACTGTGTGTGGGGAAATCTTTGTCACCTTGCCTCATGAATCAGTTAAATAATTCAGACCTCCTGTAATGGCTACAGCCAACTCTTCTCGATCACATTGTGTGCTTCAGTTTGTACAAGTTATAAAGAACTATTCACTTTGGAAAATATGTCAGGCACTAAACAAACGCCAAAAGACTTAATTACCAGGATAGAGTTAGCAGGGTAGAGTAAGGCCATTTGGACCCTTTGGAACAAAAATACTTCACTTAACCTAAACAGACTTGTAAACATGCCGAGGGAAAAAAATCTTTGCTTTTACGTCCATTCAGGCCAAGCAAAGATTTTACCAAAAAGCACAAACCCAGCACGTCTCCAGGTCTGCTCGGTTGCACTTTCAAAAAGATCTTGAGATTTTAGGTCTTTTCGGTTTTTGGATAACGGATTTCGGACCCGCATATCTTAAAACCGTAGGAATATTGGGCCAAACACTGCTTTCTCGCACTACAAGTGCTGTAAAAATTTCCAGACCCTTCGGTCCAACTTGTCCATGCTGACCAGATTTCCTAAATTAATCTAGGCCCATTTGCCGGCATCTGGTCCATATCCCTCTAAGCCCTTCCTATTTGTATACCCATCCAGATGCCATTTGTAATTGTACCAGCCTCCATCTTTGTGAAAAAGTTGTTCCTGAAGTCCTTGTTAAATCTTTCCCCTCTCACCTTAAACCTATGCCCTCTAGTTTCGGACTCCCCTACCCTGAGTACATCCTGCTCTCCACCTCTCTGCATTTACTTAAACCCTATTCAATCTCTAATTTCTTCCGACTCTGATGGAGGTCACTGAGCGGAAATATTAATTCAGTTTTTCTCTCCACTGATGCTGTTCCAGAGCCGCTGAGCGATTCACCAGCTGCTGAAACCAAACTAAAACACATGGAATTTGCACGTTACCAGAAAGAAGCTGGGATTGTTGCGGTTCCTCCAATTAAAGGATGGGACACTGATCTCTGGCAGCTGTCCATCATGTAGCACCGTGCAGCCACTGTGAGTGTGGCCACTAAGGATCAGCCGAGGACGGAACCACCAAAGCAGCTGGAAGCAAACAGGCAGAGGTTACTCACCACCAGTGACTCAATGTGTGGGAGGCGCTGTGTTATACTACATCACAAAGTCATGAATGGCCCTAAGGATGTCACTCCTGGTCTTGCAAAGTGCCCAGTCCACTTCAGATAAGGCATCAGAAAAGTCTGACAAACAGCTGAAGCTACAGTAGCAACATGAGGATTTCAGTGCCAGTGTGATGCCAGCTATGTAGGTGCCAAAGACTGGTGGATTGTATCAAACATCACATCCCTTCAGCTGTTTATAACAAACGTGATACTGACTGTACTCGGGCAACCCAGCCTTGCAAAACTCATGACGCAGTGTCAACATTAGAAGGGATTCTGCAAATGGACAACACTTGCAGGATAATTGAGAGTGCATGAAAAATGACCTTTCAGGATGGGCAGTCAGGCTCGCAGTCTGTCCCACTTGTGGGTACCGTAAGCTAATATATTAAGACATTCCGCAGACAGAAAGAACACGTACACACCCTGCACCCATTTCAACCTAATACAAACAGTAACAGCCATTTGCTGGTTTACTTCTCAGGGCAATGTCTTCACCAGAATTAATTTGCCTTGTTTAAAATTTAAACAAAGTTTGGCAGTTAACTGTTAATCATCATTAACACATGCACTCTCCATGATAATGCCTCAATTTGAGTCCAAAGCCAAACAATCAGCATTTTCTGCTCACAGTATAAAGATAAAATTAAAACAAAAACAATAATGTGTTTTTTTTTTCCAGTGACACTCAAGTTCTAAAACGCTGGACAACGCAGCAACTTAACTGGCTTCGGTCCTCCACCTTCAACATTCACTCCCTCCATCAGTGAGGCACCATGGCAACATTGTGGACCATATCGTGCTTGTTGAACATTTATGGAGATGAAAGTCAATGGAGTGATTTAAAACTTACACATAATATGGCACAAGGCCAAAACTAAAAAGGGCATAAAGAAAGAGCTTGTCGGAACTCATTTTGTGTCTGCTTCTTTCATTTTGGCTCTTGGTTTTAATTCGAACTATTGTATTCTAAGAAGGCACCAAAGAATAGTGACTTTGTACACTTTTCACTATACTCGGGTACCTGGGACAAAAAAATCTAATCTAATCTAAGAGAGAGCTGGTTGACTGAGGTCAACTGGACACAACAAGAGACTCTGCTATAGTTAATTCCAGGACTTTGACCCAGCAACACTGAAGAATCAATAATATATTTCCAAGTCAGGATGATAAGGGTCTTGGAGGGGAACTTGCAGATGATCATGGTCATGAGTTTGGACGGTGCTGTCTAAGGGGCCTTGGTGTATTGCAGTGGTACAGCCTGCTGATGGTACACGCTGCTATTACAGAGCGTTGGTGGCAGAGGGACTGAATGCTGCTGGATGTGGTGCCAATCAAGCGGGCTGCTTTGTCCAGGACGGTGTCAAGCTTCTTGAGTGTTGTTGGAGCTGCACCCATCCAAGCAAGTTGTTAAGTACCACACTTTGTGCATATCGTGAAATAAATCTACCGGGCTTATTTGAGAACAATTTCCCCAGCGTATGACGCATGTACAGTGTATGACTTGTAGCTTTGTTTCTTATTTAATGGTCTGCAAGAAAGAATTAATTTATCTGTTCTCCAGGTGAAGGGGAGCCTAACAGATTGCAGCAGAGTTAATGCAATTCATCGTGTTCCTGAATCACATAAAGGTATTGGGAGGTAGAATTTCAGGTAGTTCCACAGTAAGGTGCTAAAGGATGGAGTTAAGAATTTGGCCGGTCCCTAACCACGTATTTTTGATAGGTTTTCCTACATCTGGTAGTTAAGTGTGAAGATACAGGATTTTATCGAATTATCACATGAAACACAATGAGGAAATAATGCTATTATCTCAGGCCATTCAAAAGCATCTTTCAGCCAGTAAAGCATAGTTTGTTCTGAAATGTGGGATGCAAGGCAGCTAATTTACATCGCAAGCTCCTAGAAACAGCAATTCCACAATGACACTCAGTCTGTTTCTGATGGCTTGGCTGAGGGAAAGATGATGATCAGCGGATCTTTTCCACCGTTCTTTGCGTTAATGCCCTGGGATCTTTTAAATCCACCCAGGAGGACGGACACTGCCCCAGTTTAACATCTCGCCTGGAATAGGCTATGTCTGGCAGTGAGCACTCCCTCAGTGCTGTACTGGGGCTATCAGCTTCTTACGTCTCTCGTGCAGGACTTGTACCCTCAACCTTCACCTCAGAGGGCACTGAGCCATGACGGTTACACAAATATGGCAGAGTGGGCAGTGCCACACTGGATGCCCTGTTTTAAGAGTGACATTTACCAAACACATAGATGACACATTCTGTACCTTTTTGGTAGCTTCAAGAGACAGTGTGTCATACTTTTCCTGGAACAGCAACCGTTTCTCCTCAGGAGACGCAGAGTCTTCGCCTGTACACTCCTCATCGCTGACACGATAGAGAGGATAATGCTGGCAGAGTGAAATACACACATGGAAACTGTTAATCCAGCAACCACCAAATTTCTACCAGAGTCGTTGATCAAACTAGTAGGGACAAGAGACACCGTAGACTCAAGAGACTAGTTAGAATAAGAACTGGCTCTTATGGCAAGTACCTTAGCTGCTTTCCAAGGAACCTCGATAAATTCGAGGGATGAAGGGCTGTGATGAAATGGGAGGAGACCAGGGTGGAGCATGAGTCCTATCATGGATTCAGTGGACTGAGTGGCCTGCTTTAGTGCAATGTTGGGCAGCCTGTCATCTTGTAAGGTGACGGTTTACCATGTTGGCCAACTCGAGTTAACCACTGCCTGAAGGAGGCCCACGCTGGCACAGCAGTCACTAGCACGTACACTGCGGAGGACGACAGTAGCCAAGAACCTATGTTTCACTGTGTTCTCTGGACCCTGTGTTTCCGCTCACCTCGTCCCTCTCCAAACAGCCAGTGCACTTACCCCGCACCAGATCGCACCATCATAGACGGTCTCCCAGAGGTCAGTGGTCATGTCTGCCACCTTCACATCTCGGTTGTGGAGGAAGTATTGACGCCCATGAGGTCATTAGCCAGTGGCCAGCTCACTGTACAGAAGGTGAGTGAGCCAGTGCAAACACATTAGACTTCGCAATGAGTCAGCGCCAATGGAATTAGCACACTCCAAGACCCATTGGTGACCTTATCCTTCCAAGAAGTGAGCAGGATATACACGGAAGGTCTTTCTCTCACCTAGCCCATGTCCTCTCCCAGCTGCACAGAACAGTGCTGAGCTTACAAGGTTCATAACCTCACGGTTTGCTGCTTCCAAAGAGGTTACTGTTGCTTGCCACTCTCCTATTCAGTTTGGTCCTACCGGCTGCAATTCTTGTGATATACGGATTGGTTTCCACACTGAGTGATTGTGCGGTCTAGATAAATGAAGCTAGCAACCACCTCCAACGTCACACCATCAATACGAGCAGATGGTTTTGTGGCAGTGCCCTGCACCATGCCATGGTGCCCTGATGCTGAGGGTTAAAGGTGTGAGAGAGTCTGCCCAATTGTCACTAAAGATGTCCTCAATATGGAACACTAGTGTCATATCATCAGCAAAGGGCAACTCTTTCCTGAGGACTTCACAGAATTGTTCCAGTTCAGGAGGCCATTCAGCCCATCATGTCTTCTCCAGCTCTCTAAGTGAGCTACTTGGTTTCTCCATAACCGTGCACATTTTTCTTTTGTAGAGAACAGGCTAGTTCTATTTTGAATGCCTCAACCAAACTGGCCTCCAATACTCACGCTGCCAGTGTATTTAACTACCCACTGTGTCGTTGCACTCTTGTGCTTTTAGGCACCGATTTTAAATCCATGCACTCTTGTCCTCGATCCTTTCCAGAGGAATCTCAGTTCCTCCCCATCCACTCTGCCCACAGCAGGCTGGGTGTAGGTCAGGAAGACTGGGCAGCTGTCTAGTAGTTCTGCTATGTAGGTAGGCACCATTTTGTGGATGACCTGAAGGCACAGTGACAGCAGCAAAGAGAAGAACACACCAAGTGGTGTCAGCACCAGACTACAGCGCTGTATGACCCCACTTCAGAATCTCAAAAGTTCCGAATATCGCCCCGCCATAGCTAACTTCGCCCAACATGTTGCCATGGAATGATATTACACTGAACAGTTCTGGCAGGCAGCCAATTATCTTCAACAGATCTCCTCTGTATGAGTGGAATACCAAAACTAGTACGGACTGGTTGGACCGAATGGGCTTCTTTCCATCTAATTCTACTGAATCAACCAGAGAACGATTCAACACAGGAGCTCATTTTGCCAATCCTTCTGTGCTGGGTCATTGAAAGTGTGGTCCAATTAGGCACACTGTCCTTCTCTTTACACGTAATTATGCCAGTTTTTCTTCCTTGCATGTATAAAGCAAATTCCCTTTGAAAAGAAAGGATTGATTCTGCTTCCACATCCTCTCAGGCAGTAGTTCACAGATCAGAACAACCCATCAGAATAATCCAAAATGACACTGGAAAACATCACAAGATGCTTTACAGGGGCATCATCGATCAAACATTCACATTGAGCCAGGTGAATACAGGTTACCACATGCTGGTTAAAAAAGCAGAATTTAGCGAGCAACTTAAGAGGGGAGAGGGAGGAAGAGACACAGAGGGGGTTTTAGGAAAGAGAATTCTACAGCCTACCATCTTTCTCATGGAAATGCAGGAAACATGAACCAAAACAATTTGCCAAATTGCCTCTGACATGATTCATATTGCCATCAGTTATCTACAAATGAAGGAAAACATGAACACGATGTGGTACAGTATCCTAATCAATGTGTTGAAATTGTGAATTACGTTTAATAAGTTTAATTTCAAAAGGGTGAATAACAAAGCTCAGACAACATGCTGCCCAGCTAAATACTACTGCACATAAGCATTTTCACCTACAGAACAAGAATCGTTTACTGCACAGTGCCTCTATGATTTTTTGTATTCACACACAGGATGTGGATGTCACTGGCATTTCTTGGCCCATCCCTAGTTGCCCATGAGAAGGTGGCGGTGAGCTAACCACTTGAACTGCTGTAGTCCATGTGCTGTGGGTTGATCCGCAATGTCCTTGGGGAGGGAATTCCAGGATTTTGACACTGTAACAGTGAAGGAACGGCGATATATTTCCAAGTCAGGATGGTGAGTGGCTTGGAGGGAAACTTGAAGGTAGTGGTGCTCCCCATGTATCTGCTGCCCTTGTCCCTCTAGAGGGAAGTGGTTGTGGGTTTGGAAGGTGCTGACTGAGGATCTTTGGTGAATTTCTGCAGTGCATCTTATAGATAGTACACACTGCTGCTACTGAGCATCGGTGGGGGATGGAGCGGATGCTTTGGATATGGTGACAATCAAGTGGGCTGTTTTGTCCAAGCTTCCTGACTGTTGCAAGCTGCACCCATCCAGGCAAAGTGGGGAGTATTCAATCACACTTCTGACTTGTGCCTTGTACATGGTGGAAAGGCTTTGGGGAGTCAGGAGGAGAGTTACTCACTGCCGTACTCCTAGCCTCTGAGCTTCTCTTGTAGCTACTGTGTTTATGTGGTGAGTCCAGTTGATTTTCTGGTAAATGGTAGCTCCCTGGATATTGATAGAGAGGGATTCAGTGAATGTCAAGGGGGTAGTGATAGATTGTCTCTTATTGGAGATGGTCAATGCCCGGCATTTGTGTGGCACAAATGTTACTTGCCACTTGTCATCCTAAGCCTGGATATTGTCCAGATCTTGTTGCCTTTGAATTGCTTCAGGATCTGGACAATATCCAGGTTTAGGGTGACGAGTGGCACATAAGGTGTGGATGAGATTAGACTAGCTGTCATCGTCCAGGAGGATGAACAACACAGCAGGCTTGAAGGGCTGAATGGCCTACTCCTGCTCCTATTTTCCATGCTTCTATGCTTCTATTCTCAGCCAACTCCCCATCTAACTTGCGTTATTTGCTGACTTTAGTATGTCTACTCATCCTAGAAGAGGTCAAATATCAATTGGTACCCTCCACTTTAACGAAAATAAATCAAAACTGTAATTGAACTCAGATTCCTACCTGGAGTAAGATGGGAGCAGATGGTGGAAATATCTCCTTTTCTTTACATTTCTCATTGGAATGGCTTGGATCCAGCTGTTGACAAATAAATTGTCACGTGAAACTTGTCCATTACCTTTTCAAGGTAATTTTATACCTTTTGATTTAAAAAATACAATATTCGTGGGAAAATGATTAGCTGCAGAGTTATCCTCTACTCCATCAGGTTGGAGTCAAACTTGAATTTCTTACATGGCTCACCTCGATGGGGATCAAAATCTCGAATCACCTGCTTAACATTTGAAGCATGGAGTTTGGAAAAGGAGCAGTCATGGATTTGTGTAGTGAAAGGAGCACAGAGAGGAACAGAGAGCTTGGACCCAGGGGCATGGGGAGCCATTTGCAAGGACATAGGCCTCGACAATGGGCTTTTTTGAAGGGAGCAGGAATGATGATGTCATGGCAACTGTTTCCATTGGCAACTTGCCTACAGGGGTCAGGAAGGGAAACTGATTGACCAGCAAGTGAGTGGGATGGGTAGAAACAGCAAGCGACTTGTAAGGAAGCAGCACAGGCAGCTGTACACAGAGCATTAGTGACAAAGAATTTCCCTTTGACAAGTCACAATGAGCTCTTCTAATGAGATGATAATACAGTCGACGGGGCTGGTAGGTTTAAGGAGGAGAATGGAAGGTGATGGGAGGTAGGGTTAACTCTCATAGAGTTATAGAGATGTACAGCACGGAAACACACCTTCAGTCCAACTCGTCCATGCCAATCAGATATCCTAAATTAATCTAGTTTCCAGCATATGCTCATATCCCTCTAAACCATTCCTATACATATACCCATCAGATGCCTTTTAAATGTTGTCATTGTATCGGTTTCCACCACTTCCTCTGGCAGCTCATTGCATACACACACCATCTGCATGAAAAAGTTGCCTCTCATGTCCCTTCCATATCTTTCTCCTCTCATCTTAAACCTATGCCCTCTCGTTTTGGACTCCCGCACCCCGGGGAAAAGTCCTTGTCTATTTACCTTTGATGCCCCTCATGATTTTATAAACTTCTATAAGGTCAGCCTCCAACGCTCCAGGGAAAATAGTCCCAGCCTATTCCTCCTCTCCCTATGGCTCAAACCCTCCAACCCTGGCAACATCCTTGTAAACCTTTTCTGCTCCCTTTCAAGATTAACGACATCTTTCCTATAGCAGGGTGAGAGTTTCATCTGATCCATCTGAATCTGAGAGGGGTGAATAAGGAGCCCAGCACAATCTAACAAAATACCCTGCCAGCTAAAAGAATGCTGAATGGGTGGAGTTAGGGAGGGGAGTGGTGAGAAATGTGATCCGAGTTAAACACTCTGATAGCTGGGTCCACAGGAGTACGAGGGCAGGAGATGTAGGATGGTCAAAAAAAGCAGAACTGACCTGGAGGGAGGATCAATAACTGACAGCACAGGAGAGATGGAAACTGAAATCACTGAGTGTAAGGAAGCTCTCTGACTAAAGGCTGACAGAACAAAGGACAAATTTCCAGAATTAATAAACAGGATAAACAGCAGGGTAAGGTTTATAATCGGGGGAAGGGTAATTACAATTCTGTTAGGCAAGAACTGGGTAACATAAAATGGGAACAGATGCTGTCAGGGAAGACCACTATTGAAATGTGGAGATTGTTTAAGGAATGCATACTGCGTGTGCTCGATATGTTTGTCCCTAGCAGGCAGGGAAGATGCGGTCAAGTGAGGGAGACTTGGTTCTCAAGAGAGGTCGAATGACTGGTTAAGAAGAAGAAGGATGCTTATGTAAGGTTTAGGAAACAAGGGACGGAAAAGGCTCTAGAGGGATACAAGTTAGCCAGGAAGGAGCTGAAGAAAGGGCTTAGGAGAGCTATAAGGGGACATGAGAAAACCTTGGCAGATAGAATCAAGGAAATCTCCAAGGCTTTTTACACGTACATGAGGAATAAGAGAATGACCAGAGAAAGGGTACAGCTGATCAAGGATTGTAAAGGGAATTTGTGCACGGAGCCTAAAGAGATAGGAGAGGTCCTTAATGAATACTTTTCTTCGGTATTCACAACTGAGAGGGACCTAGTTGTAGAGGAGAACAGTGTGAAACAGGCTGGAAGGCTAGAGGAGGTCACTGTTAGTAAGGAAGATGTGCTAGGAATTTTGAGGAAGTTGAAGATAGATAAGGCCCCAGGCCTGATGGGATTTATCCAAGGATTCTATGGGAAGCGAGGGAAGAGATTGCAGGGCCTTTGGCAATGACCTTTTCTGTCCACGGGTATTGCGCCAGAAGATTGGAGTGAGTCAAACGTCAATCCTTTGTTCAAAAAAGGGAATAAGGATAACCCTGGAAATTACAGGCCAGTAAGTCTTACTTCAGTGGTGGGCAAATTATTGGTAAGGGCTCTGAGAGATAGGATTTATGATCAATTGGAAAGGCACAGTTTGATTCGTGATAGTTAGCATGGATTTGTGAGGGGTAGATCATGCCTCACAAACCTTATTGAATTCTTTGAAGAGGTGACCAAACACGTGGATGAAGGTAGAGCAGTGGATGTGGTATACATGGATTTAAGTAAGGCGTTTGATAAGGTTCCTCATGGTAGGCTCATGCAGAAGGTAAGGAGGCGTGGGATAAGGGGAAATGTGGCAGATTGGATTCAGAATTGGCTGACCCTTAGAAGACAAAGGGTGGTAGTGAACGGAAAATATTCAACATGGTGCTCAGTTACGAGTGGTGTATCACAAGGATCTGTTCTGGGTCCTCTTCTATTTGTGATTTTTGTAAATGATTTGGATGAAGGAGTGGAAGGGTGGATTAGTAAGTTTGCAGACGATACGAAGGTGGGTCGCATTGTGGACAGTGCGGAGGGCTGTTCTTGGTCACAAAGGGACATTGATAGGATGCAGAGCTGGGCTGAGAAGTGGCAGATGGAGTTTAACCCTAAAAAGTGTGAGGTGATTAATTTTGGAAGGAAAAACTTGAAAGCAGAATACAGGGTTAACGGAAAGATTTTTGGCAGTGTGGAGGAGCAGAGGGATCTTGGTGTTCATATCCACAGTTCCCTGAAAGCTGCCACCCAGGTGGATAAGAGTTGTTAAGAAGGCATATGGTGTGTTAGCTTTCATTAATAGAGGGGTTGAGTTCAAGAGCCGTGAAGTTATGCTCCAGCTATACAAAACCCTGGTTCGGCCACATCTGGAGTATTGTGTCCAGTTCTGGTCGCCTCATTACAGGAAAGATGTGGAAGCGTTGGAAAAGGTGCAGAGGAGATTTACGAGGGTGTTGCCTAGAATGGAGGGAAGGTCTTACTAGGAAAGGTTGAGAGAGCTAGGGCTTTTCTCTTTAGAACGACGAAGGATGAGAGGTGACTTGATAGAGGTGTACAAAATGATCAGAGGTATAGATAGAGTAGACAGCCAGAGACTTTTTCCTAGGGTGGAGGTAGCAATTACGAGGGGACATAGTTTTAAAGTGAGTGGAGGTAGATATAGGGGAGACGTCAGAGGTAGGTTCTTTACTCAGAGAGTGGTCGGGGCGTGGAATGCATTGCCGGAGAGGGTAGAGGAGTCGGCCTCATTAGGGGCATTTAAGCGGCTATTAGATTGGCATATGGATGATAGTATAAGGTAGGGGTGGAGGTTAGACCTTAGGATTAGGGTAAAAGTTCGGCACAACATCGTGGGCTGAAGGGACTGTACTGTGCTGTACTGTTCTACGTTCTATATTTCTATTAAATTAATGGGATGTGGGTGTCACTGGCTAGGCCTGCATTCATTGTCCGTCCCTAATTCCTCTCAAGGTGGGGGGGTGCTGAGTTGCATTTTTCAACCACATTAGACCACGTGCTGTGGATTACACCCACAATGTCATTAGGGAGGGAATTCCAGGACTTTGACCCAGTAACGGTGAAGGAACGGCGATATATTTCCAAGTCTGTTTGGTGAGTAGCTGCCCTTGTCCTTCTAGGTGGAAGTGGTTGTGCGTTGGGAAGGTGCTGTCTAAGGAGTCTTAGTGAATTTCTGCAGTGTGTCTTGTAGATAGTACAGACAGATTCATTGGCGAAGACAGTGAAAATTAAGGTGCTGGATTTGGTGACATCAAGTGAGCTGCTTTGTCCTGGATGGTGTCGAGCTTCTGAGTGTTGTTGGAGCTGCACTCACCCAGGCAAGTGGGGAATATTCCATCACATTCCTGACTTGTGCCTTGTAGATGGTGGACAGGCTTTGGGGAGTCAGGAGGGGAGTTACTCACTGCAGTATTCCTAGCCTCTGACCCACTCTTGTATACAGTCACAATGTTTGTACGGCTGATCATTGATAAGTTCGTCTGAACGCTGATAGTGGGGGAATTCAGATCCGGCATTTCCAATCATGGTCACGGGGAGACAGATTGTCTCTTTTTGGAGATGATCAGTGCCTGGCACTTTTGTGGCGTGAATGTTGCTTATCACTTGTCAGCCCAACACAGAATATTGTCCAGGTCTTGCTTTGGACATGAACTGCTTCAGTATCTGAGGAGCAGTAAATTGTATTCAACACTAATCAATCATTGGTGAACATGCCCTCTTCTGACCTTATAGGAGGAAAGGTCACTGATGAGGCAGCTGAAGATGGTGGGGCTTGGACACTACCCTGAAGATCGCCCGCTGTGGTGTTCTAGGATTGAGATAGCTTATCTCAACAATTTCACTGAGAAACACTCAATAGGTTCAGAAAGGGCAGTAGATATAAAGGATTTTGAGTGATAAATGAGAACGTGAAATAAAGAATGGTGCCCCAAAGAGGAGAAGATAATGCATTAGTAGGAGGGAAGCTCAAGGTGTCTGCTAGTGATACAGAATACTGGACGTTTTGTGAAAACAGATATTTGCAAAATACGGCCAGATGAAATTTAGGGCTCGGGATGTGGGGACAGCATTATTAAACAGAAAGGATGTGACAGTTCTGTGGCAGTTGGAATCTTGAAGTTAATGCACTGAGTCCAGGTGGATATACAAACTGATGATCAAGTCAGTGTAAATGAGGCACATACATTACACATTCGTGGGTTCAGTCTAATTCAGGGGCCCTAGAGGATAAAACTGGGGGCAAATATATACAGTTCCTGACAAGAATCAAGCCAGCCCAAGGCAGACTTCTTTGTTTAAAGTCCATTTAGAGTGAGTTGGCTTCTCTGTAATGTTATGTTAGCCTGTTACACAGCCAATCCAAGTCCAGGAAAGCTGTCAAGCCTGATGTCATTGACCAATATTTGCTCTTTGACCCCATGCTCACACATAATATCACCACGAGGCTCACATGCAAAACCGGCAAAGTATTTATTTAGTTTTTACCCTATACTATCAACCCCTCTGGCAACCACATCTCGTTCATCACTTAATGACCCGGGCTTTGCCCAGCACTGTATTTTCTTCTAAATCGCACCATATTTTGCTACTAATATGGAAACATACAAGGCAGGAGCAGGGTTATGCCATTCCACCCCTTGAACCTGTTCTGCCAATCAATATGATCACAGCTGATCATTGAGCTCAATACCCTAATCTCTTTAGTAACAAGGGCTATATCTACCTCCTTCTTAAAATAACAATGTTTTGGCTTCAACCACTTTCTGTGGTAGTGAATTCCACAGGCTCATTATCTCTGGGTAAAGAAATTTCTCCTCATGTCAGTCTTAAAAGGTTTGAGAAGTACAGAGAAACAGGGACTGGATAGCATGTTAGCGGTGAATATGGGGAAGACAGGATTTACATGCATTTGGAAAGGCAAGGACTGATCAGGGATAGTCAACATGGCTTTGTGCGTGAGAAATTGTGTCTCACTAACTCAACTGAGCTTTTAGAAGAACTAACAAAGAGGATTGGTGAAGGCAGAGTGATGGACATGATCCTATATGGACTTCAGTAAGGCATTCAACAAGGTTCTGCATGTAGACTGGTTAGCAAGGTTAGATCACATGGAATAGAGGAAGAACTAGCCATTTGGATACACAACTAGCTCAAAGGTAGGAGACAGAGGGTGGTGATGGAAGGTTGCTTTTCAAACTGGAGGCCTGTGATCAACGGTGTACCACAAGGATTGGTGCTGGGTCCACTGCTTTTCATCATTTATATAATTGATTTGGGTGTGAATATAGGAGGTGTGGTTAGTAAGTTTGCAGATGACACCAAAATTGGAGGTGCAGTGGACAGCAAAGAAGGTTACCTCAGTGTACAATGGGACCTTGATTGGATGGGCCAATGGGCCAAAGAGCCGAAGAGTGGCAGCTGGAGTTTAATTTAGATAAATGTGAGGTGTGGCATTTTGGAAAGGCAAACCAGGGCAGGACTTATACATTTAACAGTAAGGTCCTGGGGATTGTTGCTGAACAAAGAGACCTTGGAGTGCAGGTTCATAGCTCCTTGAAAGTAGAGTCACAGGTAGATAGGATAGTGAAGAAGGCATTTGGTATGCTTGCCTTTATTGGTCAGTGCACTGAGTATAAGAGTTGAGATATCATGTTGCAGCTGTACAGGACATTGGTTAGACCACTTTTGAAATAATGCATTCAATTATGGTCTCCCTGCTACAGGAAGGATGTTGTGAAACTTGAAAGCGTTCAGAAAAGATTTACAAGGATGTTGTCAGGATTGGAGGGTTTGAGCTATAGAGAGAGGCTGAATAGGCTGGGGTTATTTTCCCTGGAGTGTCAGAGGCTGAGGGGTGACCTTGTAGAGGTTTATAAAATCATGAGGGGCACAGATAGGGTGAATAGACAAGGACTTCTCCCCTGGGTAGGGGAGTCCAGAATTAGAGCGCACAGGTTTAAGGTAAGAGAGGAAAGATGTATAAAGGACCTAAGGGGCAACATCTTCACAAGAGGGTGGTGCATGTGTGGAATGAGCTGCCAGAGGAAGTGGTGATGGTTGGTACAATGACAACATTTAAAAGGCATCCGGATGAATAGGAAGGGTTTAAAGGGATATGGGCCAAATGCTGGCAAATGGGACTAGATTAATTTGGGATATCTGGTCAGCATGGACAAGTTGGACTGAAGGATCTGTTTCCATGCTGTACAGCTCTATGAATCTATGACTCTATGTGACCAGTGGACGTAATGTAAGCTACACGAGAAGATAGTGACATTAGGCCTAAAGGAAAAGATGAGAAGGTGAAATGTATGAGAAGTAATAGAGAGTTTAAGAGGAGATAAAGCACCACAAAACCACCTTCACCAGATAAGAAAATAACCTGAGGTTTTACTTGAACTAAACATCCTCTTTCAAATGTTGCAAAAATCAATGAATCAAATCAATTACACCACCACCAACAATGCAGATATTAATCATTTAATGCTTATCAGGCTAGAATTGAAAGTAAATGGTGTATTGATCGGGAATTGCAGTTTGAGACAATGATGGAATTATACAGCACAGGAGGCCATTCAGCCCTTTCATAGAAACTTTGAGCCTACTCTGCTATCCTTTATCTCAATGCCATTTTCCCCACTTTCTTTCCCCTAACATTTGAAGCTTTTAAACAATAAAATAAATTATCAATCTCTTTTTTGAATATATTCAGTGTCTCAGCCTCCACTGCCCATTTGTGGCAGGGAAGTCCATAGGTATGTGAAACATTTCCTCACCTCAGTCCTAAATGGTCCACCTCACATCCTGAGACTGTGCGCCCTGCTTCTAGACTCCCCAACCAGAGGAAACATCCTCCCTGAATCTAATCTGTCCAGTCCTGTTAGAACTGTATATGTTTCAATCAGATCCACTCTCATCCTTCTAAACTGTAGTGAATACAGGCCCATTGAACTAACCTTTCCCCATAGGACAGTCTTGCCATCCCTGACGTCAACTTAGTGAACCTCTGCTACACTCCCTCTATGGCAAGTATATCCTCTCTCAAGTAGGAAAACCGAAACTGCATGCTGTATTCCAGGTGCAGTCTCACCTACGTCCTGTACATCTGCAGTAAGACATCCCTACTTCTGAACTCAAGTCCTCTTACAATGAAGGCCAATATGTCATGTACTTTCCAAATTGCATGCTGCACCTGCCTGTTTACACCCAGACACCCAGATCCCTTTGTGCACCCACATTTCCCAATTTGTCACCATTGAAATAACACTCTTCCTTTCTGTTTTCACACCAAAATGTATAATTTCACATTTAGCCATGTTACACTGCATTGCCATATGTTTACCCACATACACTCAACTTGTCTTAAATCACCTTGAAGTCTCCTTGCATCCTCCTCATAACTTCACCGAGTTTTGTGTCAGCAGCAAACTTGGAAATGCTGTGTTCAGTTCCCTCATTCAAGTCATTTATGTAATGGTCACTCTTCCCCAAGGGTCTATACACAAGATTATTAATGGATCCTTTCTCATTGCACTGTAGGCCTACAGGTCACTGTACAGATAACAAGACAATCTAGAATAGCCCATTCTCTGATTAGTTCCTTAAGGTATTGTCGTAAAAAAACACCACATACACCCTCCAGGAAATCCTCCTACACAGTATCGTTATTACCTTAGCTTATCTAATCCATATGTAAATTAAAGTCACCCATTATTACAGTTCTCTTGATGCATGCATCTCTGATTTCTTGTTTATTGCCTTCGTTAACATCACCACTATGGTTTGAGGGCATGTAGACAACACCCAAACAATTTTTTACTGCTCCTTGGTGTTTCTTATCCATACAGATTCATACATCATGATTTTCTGAATCAATATTCTTCCTCAGTTCTGCATTGATCTCCTTTACAAACAATGCCATGTCGCCTTCCTTCCCTTTTGTCTGTCCCTCCTAAATAATGAGTACAGCTGGATGTTCAGCTCCCAATCTTGGTCACCTTGCAGCCAGATCTCCTTAATCGCAACTTTATTAGAACAGTGTATATCTACTTGCACTGCTAATTCATCAGTCTTGTTGCGACATACATTTCCGCATTATGACACAAAGCCTTTACACTCAACTTTTTAACCTCTTAGCATTAGTTTTGCATTATAGTCCCATTTGTTTTATTCCCACATATTTTCTGCCTTTCACTTTTGCTTCTTACTTTTCTGTCTTTCATTTCTATTGTTGTTTCTCCTTCCTCAGGTTCCCACCACCCCTCCAGATCTATGAAATTAATTACATCCCCTCCAACTAACCCTACCACCCCCCACCACCTCCTTTCAAATGGTTATCCAAGTCCCTCCTGGAAGTGACTAATCAATCTGCTTTTTCAGGCAGTGCTTTTCAGATTGAAACAACTCACGGTGCAATATGTTGGAAAACTTGAATATTCCTTTCTATTAGCATCACCTGACATCCTGGTTATTTTGCCAAAAGTGTTTTACTTGCCTGTCGGGAACAGTTTAATGCCAAGGACAGTTGCTGAAGATCATTTTCTACTTTCGCGCAGATGGAACAACCATCTCCTTGCAAAGCAATGCTATTCACCAGAACAAAGCTGCAAACACACACAAACAGCAGAATAACTCCTCAGTACTCCGTTCGTAACAGGCTGATTTCCTCAGACATTCAGAAGTCTGCCAGAACACGGTTTGTTCTGAGCCAGATCTATTTTAGCCCAAAAACAATCACAGACCCCAATCACAGCCTGACTGAATTTCCCATTTTACATCTACCTGATGCTTCCATTGATCCATCAGCGGTCATTTTAACACATCCGCTTCTCAGTTCAGACCCACTGAAACTGTCTAAATCTGCCTAAAATGTTATTCCAGCACTTTTTTTCATTCGTTCACAGGATGCAGGCATCACTGACCAGGCAGCATTTATTGCCCATCCCTAAATGCCCAGAGGGCAGTTAAGAGTCGACCGCATTGCTGTGGGTCTGGAGTCACATGTAGGCCAGACCAGGTAAGGATAGCAGTTTCCTTCCCTAAAGGACATTAGTGAACCAGAGGGGTTTTCCCGACAATGTATTTACAGTCATCATTAAACTCTTAATTCCAGATATTTTTTATTGAATTCAAATTCCACCATCTGCCATGGCGGGATTTGAACCAGGGTCCTCAGAACATTATCTGGGTCTCTGGATTAATAGTCCAGCGATAATACCACTAGGCCATTGCCCCCCGCTTTTACTTCATAGAATTCAAAGATTGAATATTCTCATTCAACAGTTTATCTTTGTGCACCCATTTGGCATATAATCAGAGAATAATGCAGCATAGAAAGCCAATCAGCCCATCGACTTCTGAAGAGTGATCCAGCTGGCCCCATTCCCCACTTCTTTTCCCCTTCCCCTGCATTTATTCTGCCTCAAGTATGAATGCTCCGGAAGCATCAGGGTGCAAGGATTGTCACACAGGGTTTGTAAGGTGTAGTGACTGTAATGATGTCATCCAGGTAGGCACAGAATATGAGCTCCGCGGATGGGGTGTTAATCTGGTCCAATCAGGGAGCCCTGGCTGACAGATAATAAACAGGAGTATCAGAGGTTCTGCTCACTCTGAGAGCTGGCTCTGAGGAAACTGGACCAGTGTCAAGTACTACGCATGTGTAAATAAAGGGTGACTTGGTGACAGGATACCGGTCCCTGTCGAGTTATTTCAGAAGAAGTTCTCTTTTGTGGCATGCTGTCTTTATTTACAGTATGGAGACAGTGCTCCATCAAAAGCCTTTGTGAAAGAATCCCAGCAAGTCTCAATTTAATTAAGAGAAGGGCTGTTTCTGTCAATGAAAGGATTCATTTGAAACACCTTAGTAAAGCAAATACTATGTTTTCTTTTGCTGGAGGTTACTGGTATGGTTTCTTTGCATCTTTCTGAAATTAATTAAACTGAGGTATTTTGTGGAGCAAACCATTCATTTCTTCATTTCTCATTTTCAGTTTGTTCTTAAATTATTTTTTAGGATGTATTTGTTCACAGGATGCGAGGGGGTGTTGGTGGCTACACCAGTATTTATCGTCTGGTCCTAAGTGCGCTGGAAAGATTGAATCCTTTTCTAGAAACACTGCAGTCCCTACAGAGCAGGATACGCCCACTATGACATAAGGGAAGAAGATGCAGGATTTTGACCCAGTGGCACTGAAAGAACTGCAATGTATTTCCAAGTCAGGGTAGTGTTCAGCTTGGAGGGGAACTTGCAAGTGGTGTTGTTTCCATGTATCTGTTGCCCTTCTCCTTTTGGTGATAAAGATCATGGATTAAGGTGGTGCCATCAAAGGTGGTACACAGTACTGCTACTGAGCATCAGTAGTAGAGGGAGTGGATATTGAAGGTAGCAGATGAGGTGCCAGTCAAGTGGGCTACTTTGTCCTGGACTACATCAAGCCTCTTGTGTACATTTGGCACTGTACCCATCCAGGCTAGTGGGAATTTCCTAACACACTCTTGAATTGTTCCTCATAGATGGTGGACAGGCTTTGGGGATTCAAGAGATAAGTTACTTGCTACAGAACTCTTAGCCTCTGACCTGCTCTTGTACTCACTGTATTTATACGGCTAGTCCATGTCATCCAGGTGGACACAGAATATGAGTTAAAATCAAAAGAACTGCAGATGCTGTAAATCAGGAACAAAAACAAAGTTGCTGGAAAAGCTCAGCAGGTCTGGCAGCATCTGTGAAGGAGAAAACAGAGTTAACGTTTTGGGTTCGGTGACCCTTCCTCAGGACAGAATATGAGTTCCCCATTTGGGGTGGTTAATCTGGTCCAATCAGGGAGCCCTGGCTGACAGATATAAACAGGAGTGTCAGAGGTTCTGTTCACTCCGAGAAAGCTGGATCGGTGTCAAGTGCTATGCATGTGTAAATAAAGGGTGACTTGGTGTCATGACAGGGAGCACAGTTACTCTTGTGGGTGAATCTAGAACAAGGAGTCACTGTTTAAAAATCAGCACTCACCCATTGAAGGCAGAGGTGAGGAGAGCTTTTCTTTCAGACTCTCTTCAGCTCAAAAAGATGGTAGAAGCAAAGTCTTTGAATATTTGTAAGGCAGAGGTCAATAAACTATTGATAAATAAGGGGCTTAAAGGTTATCGGAGACAAGCAGGAACATGGAGTGATCAGATCAGTCGTGATTTTAGTGAAGGGTAAAGGGGCTGAGTGGCCTACTTGTCACCTGTCCACTATGGGGTTGTCAGTTTTCATTTTCACTCTGTCATCATTTCTAACTCATAGGAGTGACTGAATGCCTCTGCTCATTGGCAACACTGATGGGTCAAGTTATTATCATGGATAATACACCAAGGAATATTGTGCTTTTGTGAACTGATGCTTTAGAATTAAGCAAAGTACCTCACTTTTAGCTGGTAGAAGCTACATATATTCATATGCACGGAGGGATCCGTACTTTATAGGCAAAAGGAACATGTCCAGGTATGACATTATTCCTAAACTAAACAAAGTCCAGGTGCATTCTATAGTATCGGGATAGAAACCTATTTGTTATACCACACATTCAAAGGATCATGACATTTACATTCTTAAGCAGCAGTCTCCTCGAGTTCAGGGGGTGGTGGTGGGGGGGGCGGGGAGAGAGAAGATGCATGGGGGACACCAGACCCAGTATTATTTCTTCTAAGTCACCATGTTCCAAACCATGTGGGATATTTTATAGTGCCAGAAGATGCCGGCGCATTGCTGAGAGTGTGTACTTGAGGATCCGTAAAGACAACAGTTTTTGGAGGCTCTGGATGAAGGGTCTGAAATATCAACTTTCCTGCTTCTCTGACGCTGTCTGGCCTGCCATGTTCCTCCAGCTCCACACTGTGTTATCTCATAGCAAGTCAAATTGGGACCGTGTTCCCCCATCAGCCCCCTCAGTTTCCCATTGGAGTACCGACTCCTTCTTAAATCTTTCAAAGCACCAAGAGGCAGGAAACACGTGTGAAGTTCCCTTTAGAGTGAGTAAAAACAGAATTCACTTACTTTATTCCTTTTCTAGTCACCACTTTTGCAGAAGTGAAGTTAAACACTCCCTCAAACCTCTGCAGTTTATACCAGTCCATTCTGAAAAAAGGAAGTTAAAAAATTAAATGACTCAGTTTTACTAAAAAAGTTCAACAAGTGTTTTTCAAGCTAAAATATCCTCACAATAAAAATTAACAAAGCAGTGTTAAAAGAGAGTATTTATCACTTAAAAAATTCAGGTAATTACAAAATGAATACAAATAAGTCCTTACAGCAGTTACTGTCACAAGAATATCATTAAAGAAAGAAATCTTTCACAGCTATGTCTTGACTCTCCCACATTCAATATCAATAGTCCAAACTTAACAGTCATAGAGTCATTGAGATGTGCAGCATGGAACCAGACCCTTTGGTCCAACTTGTCCATGCCAACCAGATATCCTAGATAAATCTAGTCCCATTTGCCAGTATTTGGCCCTAAACCCTTCCTATTCATATACTCATCAAGATGCCTTTTAAATGTTGTATAATTGTACCAGCCTCCACCACCTCTTCTGCAGCTCACTCCTTACACACACTGCACTCTGCATTAAAAAGTTTCCCCTTAGGTCCCTTTTAAATCTTTCCCCTCTCACCTTAAACCTATGCCCTCTAGTTTTGCACTCACCCACCCCAGAGAAAAGATCTTGTCTATTCACCCTATCCGTTCCCCTCATGATTTTATAAACCTCTATAAGGTCACCCCTCAGCCTCCGACGCTCCAGGGAAAATAGCCCCAGCCTATTCAGCCTCTGCCTGATCAAACCCTCCAATCCTGGCAACATCCTTGTAAGTCTTTTCTGAATTCAAGTTTCACAACATCCTTCCTATAGCAGGGACACCAGATTCTAGTATTCCAAAAGTGCTCTAACCAATGTCCTGTATAGCTGCAACATGACCTCCCAACTCCTATACTCAATGCACTGACCAATAAAGGCAAGCGTACCAAATGCCATCATCACTATCCTATATACCTGCAACTCCACTTTCAAGGAATGATGAACCTGCTCTCCAAGGTCTCTTTGTTCAGCAACACTCCCCAGGACCCTACCGTTAAATGTATAAGTCCTGCCCTGGTTTGCCTTTCCAAAATGCAGCACCTCACATTTATTCAAATTAAACTCCATCTATCACTCCTCGGACCATTGGCCCATCTGATCAAGATCCCATTGTACTCTGAGGTAACCTTCTTCACTGTCCACTACAGCTCAAATTTTATGGTCATCTGCAAACTTACTAACCATACCTCCTATGTTCTGCCAGGACTATTCTTTCGTTTTCTTTTGCCTCTAATTCAAGCTGCTTCATTTACAATTGAATTTTAGCCACTTCCAAAGATTTCAATGGCATTTCTGATAATTTAAAATATGAAGCTATTGCTGCAATTACCTCCCCTTTCCTCACAGACCTGGGCGACCCCAACTCCAGCTTGTCTGCCAATTCCAATAGCTTTGCATTGCTCACGTTTTGTAAAACCCCCAAAGTCACTTATTCCACCCCCAGAAAATTCTTGGTGTCCGAAAGAGCCATTACTACACAAAGCACACCCTGTTTAAATCAACCGAATTCAATACTCTTAAACAAAAGACACTAACACCTACCAATTGTCACCTTTGAGTCCAGCAATCATTAACCAAACTTGGAATTATAGATCCCGATCCTGGACGAGCCCCCAGTTTGTTGTGGACCAGACCAGACCCCCCTCAAAATGGCTTAAGAGGGCAGTCCAGACACTAACTTTTCTTATTTTAAAGGTAGATGTGAAATGCAGATTCCAGGTGTGATATGACTGGTCAAACTACTCGACGTTAAACAAAACAGAATTTATTTAAACACTGTAGTTAAAATACAAACAAAGGAAAGAAGAATTTAGAAAATCTTAACTATTAGAAAACTTAACCGAATAGTAGATACAGTACCTGCTACAAATTAACTGTTCCAATATAGCAACATCCCATAAACACACCCCTTGGCAAAAAGGCAAATTCAGACACAGATTCTTACATGCAGTTCTCCAATCCAGGAGGAAACAACATCAAGAGCGATTTCAGATAAAGTAGCAGCTAGGAATCATTCACTGAAGCTCCCAGCTCTTCTGAGACCCCAAACAGTTTCTGACTGGCAATGCTAAAAAAAAACTAGAAAGCCTGGTCTTTGAGAGCTTTCCATTGTTTCAACTTCTTTAAAAACAAACTAAAGGCCTCACACTTTGCTTACTTAAGCCGCATTCAGTTGGCAGTTTGGCGCCTGTGCCTTTGCAACCTCTTTTCAAAAAAAAACCAAGGACAAAATGAGTGACAGTATTGTCACATAGCTAATACACCTCTCAAAGTGCAGTATGCTGCACTTATTCCCAGTTCATAACGTGGGGCTCGTTGTCAAACAGGAAGAAGAGCAAATTACAAATTCAAAATGAATAACATATTTGGAGAACGTAAAGCTCCACCCTGCTTCTGAATTCTGCAGTGGAGGAAATGAATTCATTGGATTGAATGGTTACTGGAGAACTTGAGTAAAAACAGCCGCACTCAGGCTGCAATACATTTCAACGGGTTGGGGGAATCACATTTCTGGAGAGTAAGATTGTGCAGAAGATCACACAAAAAAACTTCCAAGTTCTTTGTAAGACTTTACAATTCCAAACTACAACACAGTTTCGATTTATTAGAGACAAATCGAAGGGCTTTGTACCATTTTTAGGATTTCACTAAAGGCTGTCAGTACTCAGGGTTCAAAGGAGGACAGAAGGTGCCTGTATGTGTATTACATAATTTATTTGGCAGCAGTATCAAGATTGGCCTTATTGCTATTTTAAAATGGAATAACTGAATCTGCATATTATTACACAGCTGTGTTAACATGGAGAGCAAACAGGGGCTGATGCAGTTAAATGTCATAAGAAACTGGCTACACATTTTACCAAGAGGCTGGAGGCATAGACAACAAATAATTTAAAAAGGAAACAATGCATACTTGACAGAAATAAAACAGCGGGGCCACAAGATTAAGACTGACCATACTGCTCTACTCGGAGCCAGCATTGACTCAATAGGCCAAATAGTCTCCTTATGACCAATGGGTAAAGCCACACAAGAGGTCAACTGAAATAGCTTAAAAACAGATGGAAAGGTGAACTTGTAAAGAACTTACATTGGCTCAAAATAGAGTAACTTATTTATCTCTGGGTGCCACATTATAGAAAGTTATGGGAAAGGTGCATTACAGATGGCACTAGGGATGAAGGAAGAGATTATTATTTAGGGACTTTTCCATTAAAGCTGCAAAGAATTAAGGGTAACCTAAAACAGGAATGATTATGACTCTGATAGATTGAGTCTCCTCATCAACCTGCAGAGAAAAGTTTAAGATAAAAACAACAAAGGAAGAGTTTAGAAAATAATCTTTATATAGGATGGTTAAATGCAATTCTCTGTCACAAATCTAAGAACTTGATAGTTGCCTGTAAAAGGGACACATTAATGGATATGATCAGGCAGTGCAGAAGGTAAGACAGGCAATTCCAAAATGATTCAATGCTGCAGTGTATTTATTTGTTTGTTTGTACTGTTTGAGGTCTTAGTGTTTTCAGTTGTAGTACTCACCAGTGGATTAACCTGAATCCGATCTGTTAGTATTGATAATACAGGTTAATGGAGGGATGGATTTCAACGCTCTGCAGATCACAAATAAACACAATTGGACACCCGCCCCCCAACCCCAACCCATTAAGTGGCATATATAGAGAAAAATACCTGCGCAGTCTTACTGGAACAAATAGTTTCTATTGTATGTCTCACCATAATAACCATGTTATAAGATTCCATTAATTCATCCATGAAATGGTATTATGTTGTGGAATGACTTGATTGAATCGAAACTAAGCTGCAAGAATGTGCCTCAACCCGTCAGATTACAAGATATAAAAAGCAGTCTACCTCTAACCCCATCCTGAACTGCGGGAGGTGTAGTGACAATGTCAGTGGACCAGAAATCCAGGTGATTATGTGCTAATGATCTGGGTCTAAATTCCACAATGGCAGATAGTGAAATTTGAATTCAATTTTTTTTAAAAATTGAAATAAAATGCTAGTCTAATGTTGACTACCGTCAGGGAAAATCCATTTGGTTCATTAATGTCCTTTAGGGAAGATAATCTGCTGTCCTTACCCAGTCTGGCCTACAAAAGAACTATGGATGCTATAAATCAGAGACAAAAATAGAAATTGCTGGAAAAGCTCAGCATATCTGGCAGCATCTGTGGAGAGAAATCAGAGTTAACATTTCAGGTGGAGTGGTCCTTCCTCAGAACCCAACTCTTAATTACCCTCTGGGCAATAAATGCTGGCCTAGCCAGCAACACCCTAATCCCATGAATTTTTTTTTTAAAAATCCTGTTGAAATTTTCAAACATCTCAAAGTATAGATACCACAGGATTTTTAATTTTCTGCAGTACCTGAGTTTATATTTCTGTGACAGTCCTCAACTTCAAATGGGCTGTCAATCTAAACAACACGCTACAATTTGGTGCCATGATTTTTTAGGTTTAGTTATGATGGGGGAAGCTTTAGTTCTTGCATGAACTCAGAGAATGAGAATGGCCCAAATTCCAAACAGAATAAATGTTTTGTGTGAACCTTCTGGAACAATGGCCCAGTGGGAAAAGAAAATGCTGAGATTATCAGCACTGACCATTATTAGAGATAGCAACATCCCATCGCCAACACACAATCAAATGCGCGAATCAGGGAGTTGATGCCACAAGTTGTCCTCCCTGAGCATTTTTTATACTGGTACCTCAGAAACTAACATGTGTACTTATCCATGAAATACACCAGGTAAAGGTACACTTTGGCCATTCAACTGTCATTGACCTTTCAATGGCATGATATGTTTCAGCTATTCCAAACAACCTCTCTGGCATTAAAAACTCCTGCTTTTAACTTTTTAAAATGAATTACGTCTTTAAAATAGTTATTTACATCCCGTACTAAACTTTGTTACTTTTAAAGATAGCAAGAACCGCAGATGCTGGAGTCAGAGATAACACAGTGTGGAGCTGGAGGAACATAGCAGGCCAGGCAGCATCAGAGGAACAGGAAAGTAGACGTTTCAGGTCAGGACCCTTCAACACTTCTGATGCTTCTTTGATGCTGCTTGACCTGCTGTGTTATTTCAGCTCCACACTGTGTTGACTTTGTTACTTTTAATTTCTTTCTTGTATTACACTCTTTCTACACAGATTTAAGTTGAATATCATAAATTACACTTCCTGTTTAGACTCTGCAGCGTCAATCTTAACCGAGGTGGATTCTGTCAGGAGGCGTTACAGCAGTTTTGTTCTCAAAAACCACAATTCCTGGTTTTGCCACACATAGTTCAACACCATTCACACTTCCTCAGATACTGAAGCAGCCCATACCCCAAATACAGCAAGATCTGGACAATATCCAGACAAGTAATATTCTTGCCACAGAGATGCCAGTCAATGATCATCACTTATTGAAGGCAATCTAACCAACGCCCCTTGACATTCAATGGAGTTGCCATTACTGAATCCCCCGTTATTAACATCCAGGGGTTACCACTGACCAGAACTTTACTGGACTAGCTACATAAATAACAAACAGAAACAGTTGCTGGAAAAGCTCAGCAGGTCTAGCAGCATCTACGAAGAAAAAAAAATCAGAGTTAACGTTTCGGGTCCGGTGACCCTTCCTCAGAACCCGGACCCGAAACATTAACTCTGATTTTTTTTTCTTTACAGATGCTGCCAAACCTGCTGAGCTTTTCCAGTAACTTTATTTTTGTTCCTGATTTACAGCATCCGCAGTTCTTTTGGGTTTTTTTTAGCTACATAAATAGTTGCTATAAGAGCAGGTCAGAAGCCAGGAATACTGCAATGAATAACACACGTCTCAACTCCCCAAAGCCTGTCCACCATCTATAAGGCACAGGTCAGGCATGTGATGGAATATTCTCACTTGCCTGGATGGGTGCAGCTCCAACAACACTCAAGAAGCTTTGATACCATCCAGGACAAAGCAACTTATTTGACTGGCACCACATTCACAAGCTCCCTCCACCACCGACGCTCAGTAGCAGCAGTGCGCACCACCTACAAGATGCACTGCAGAAATTCACCAAAGATCCTTAGACAGCACCTTCCTGCCTCACTATTTCCGTCTAGAAGGACAATAGATACATGTTATTCCCCTCCAAGCCACTCACCATCCTGACTTGGAAATATGTTGCGGTTCTTTCACTATCACTGGATCAAGATCATGAAATTCTCTCTTTAACATCATTGCGGGTCTATCAGCAGTAGATGGACTGCAGCGATTCAAGAAGGCAGCTCACCACCACCTTCTCAAGGTCAACTAGGGACTGGCACTAAATGCTGGCTCAGCCAGCAATGCATGTCCCACAAGTGAATAAAAACAAACACTGCAGTTTGGACATCATTATTCACCCAGGTATTAGCCTGACCGAGAACCGCACTAAATCCAGGTAACACCTCCCAGGGTGGATGTACTGGCTTGGAAGGTGTGCAGCTCAGATTTATCAAAGCGACATCCAGCACTAAAGGGTTAAATTATGAGGACAGGTTGCATAGACCAGGTTTGTAGTTAGAAGGCTAATGGTGCTCAAATTGAGGTTCCTTAAGATGTTTAAAGAATGCAACAGTGTATACCTATTACCCTGATTCCCAACAATAGCATCTTACACTGACTACAATTAAATAAAATATAATTTAATTCCTCATTTGCTCGATCAGGTCCAAATTATCGACAGACAACCCAATTCTAGAGACAATTCCAGAGCAAGAAGTTGAAACTTTTAATGCAAAGGGTGAAGCGTTTGGGTGAACTCTCTCATCCAAAACTCTATTGAAAATGAGGGTCAGTTGAAAATGTTAAAACCATGATCAATAGGCTTGAACAGGTTCAAGGAGCTGAATGACCTCTCCTTCTTCCTACACTACTAAACAACATATTGTGGATATCTCAAACAAGTCTTTACTTTCCGAACGAAATTGTTTTTAAGGTTTAATGTCAATTCATACTGGATCACCCTAAGCTGAGATTCTGAGTATTATTTCCAAGATTTCCTTATTCATTTTTTTTATTATTCATTCATAGGATGAGGGCGTTGCTGGCTAGGCAGCATTTATTGCCCATCCCTAATTGCCCAGAGGGCAATTCAGAGTCGACCACATTGCGGTGGGTCTGGAGTCACATGTAGGCCAGGCCAGGTAAGGATGGCAGTTTCCTTCCCTAAAGGATATTAGTGAACCAGATGAGTTTTTCCCGACAATTGACTCATGGTCATCTTTAGATCCTTAATTCCAGATATTTTATTGAATTCAAATTCCATCATCTGCCGTGGGGGGATTTGAACCTGGGTCCCCAGAATGTTATCTGGGTCTCTGGATTAACAATCCAGCAATAATACCACTAGGCCATTGCCTCTCCTGTACATGTGAAGATGCACAGTGAATTGCCTCTAGTTATCACAGCGTCCTCTCACCCTCTGAGGCTCAAGTTTTATTTGAAGAGTTAAAAATTTGGAAATTTTCGGGGTACTCTAATCCTTCTCACTCTTGCAGCCAATCCCTAGACGATTCCCTCCAGGGAATACCATGGTATTTTTGTTAAATATAATTTTTGAAAACCTCAAAATAATTTTCTATAAGTGAAAACAAAGTTAGAGCTTTTGAAGAAACTTAAAGGTAAGCAAGTTTCTCATCAAAGAGACAGTCATCGTCAAAGGCTTAGTTGTTTCTGATAGACACGAGCAGACGGAATGTGGTGGGTGGTTAAAATCTTCTGATGCAGTTACATTCAGATAACAATATTTGAGATTGGTTTGAGGCATTTACCCCTTGGATCTAACTTAAGAAATTTAGCATGCCTGGTTGAAGTATTTCCAAATTGATACACAGTCAATCAACAGGCGGAATGACTGATCACAATGGTTGCGCCTTAACCAGCCAAAGCTGGAATTATCGAATGAAGTGTACTTACTCATGATGGAAGCCAATATCATGATTCCCTGCAACCACAAACAAGTCTGTGCTGGACAAGTGCCTGAACATCATCTGAAAACGCTTCACATCATCTTTGAAGTCCTATTAAAGATTCACAGCATTAGTGAATTATAGTTTAACCATTTTCCATTAAGTCTTTGAATATCTGCCTATTGAGAATCAAGGAAACAGACTATACAATCCTTCCCCTAAAGAACAAAAATATCCCTGACAATTTCTATAATTCACAAGACAATCATTGCCCTAAAAGAAAGAAGTATTGACCTGTATATAGCACCTTTCATAAATACAGGATATCTCAAAATACAACCAATGCAGCATAGTCAGCATTGTAATGTTGGAAATGTGGTAGGCAAGCAAGTTCCCATGCGGCAAAGGGCCAATCTGTTTTTATGATGTTAACTGACGAATAAATATTGGCCAGAACACCAGCTATATCTTCTCCGCTCTTCTTCAAAACAGTGTCATGGGATAGGGTTAGGGTTATCACCACTCAACAGAGCAGGAGAGGCCTCGATTTAATATCTTCTCTCAAAAGACGACCACTTCCAACAGTGCAGCATTCCCCAATACCGCACCAGAAAATCAGTCTTAAACTTTGTGCTCAAATCCTGGATTGGGACTTGAACCTATAACCCTAATGAGGGGGTAGGTTTGGGGGGTGGGGTGGTGCAGAGGTGAGAGGAGGTAAGAGAAAGAATATTGAACTGGGATCTCTGCAGCAAATTATAAGATAAACTGAAAACTATTTCCAAACAATTTCATGCATTTGAATTTAAACTTGCCAAAGATGTGTTTCTTACAAATTCTGGCAGCAACGATTTAAACAACTGAATATTTCTTAAAGGATTTTTAAAATTTCAGAACTACAAATCATCATGTACTGCATTATTGCAAAGATTTATAAAGTGTTGGACTACTTATCCACAGCATCCTTATTTAAGAGGTAAAGAAATATGAATGCTGGAAATCTGAACTTACAGCAGAAAGTGCTGAAAATACACAGGAGGTCAGGCAGCACCTGGGCACAGTCAATGTGAAGGGGAACTCTGGCTCTCACTCTAAAGACACTGCCTGATGTGCTGAGTAACTCCTGCATTTTCTTTTGTGTCATCCTCGCTTTTCTTCTACTTAAGACATCTAGTGAAGTATCGTGAGAGCAAGTCAAAGCAGGACGCTGAGACAGTGCTGACACTGACTTCCCCTCAAACTTTTCTGCTTCATTTATTTGGAATGTGGCTCCTAAAGCTCCTGAATGCTGTGCCAGGGCTCCCATTGCAAATTACTGGTCTCTGCAAAGTTCTCGCTCATGGAAATGTTACCAAGATGTGAATGTCAGCAACTTAAGACTTTGTAGCCTTGTTTCATATGAGTGCACTGCCTGTCAGATCAGCTGCCCTAAGCTGTTATGATATTAAGCCTCAATGCTCCACTGACCGGCCTTCTCTGCAAACCTGCTCTCGCACAAGTCTCTGCTGCCCGTATCCCAACATAAGTGATCCAAAGCAGAATAAAGTTAATATAAGGCAAATAAAGTTAAGGCAGCACAGCTCAGTCAAGTGGAACATATAGCCTGACGTATGTACCCATGATATGTGGCAAGTCATAGACCCTACCACGATACTGTAGGTGATCACATGTGCTGTCATATACAGAAACCCAAGCTCCGAGTTTGTGGAGCTCAAATGATGGCTGGAAACACTGTGGCACATTCACAACGCTAAGAGCTATGTGGATTACATATTCGGAAAGGTAGTCACACTGCATCTTAAGGACCTGGTGACTGCCTGGCAGGCCATGAGAAACAGTGAGGTTGTGCAGGAATCCCCTGGCATCCCATCCACAAATTGGTTTTCCTTTCCAAAAACTGAGGAGGTGCTGACTCCTCAAGAGAGTGCAGTCAGAGCCACTTTTGTGGCACCATGAGCAATTCAGCTGACAAGGACAGGAAGAAGAGCAAAACTGAGCCGGAATTCGTTAGTGAGGGGAACATTTCTGTCACCATAGTCACGACTCCCGGGCGGTATGTTTATCTGATGTCAGGGTCAAGGATGTCACAAAGTGGCTGCAGGACACTGGGGGAGCAAGGAGGCGTGTAAAGTTAGCAGTCATGGTCCATGTTGCTACCAATGGCTGGGTTAGGGACAGTGTGGTCCTGCAATCTGAATTTAGGGAGCAAGGTAGAAAGTTAGCAAGCTGGGACCTCAAATGCAGTAATCTCTGGATTACCTGCAGTCACATGCAAGTAACTATAGAAGGATAAGGCAGATAAATGCTTAGCCAGAAAGATAGGAAGGGCTTTAGATTTCTGAGACTGACTTATACCACCTTTAGAAGCTGTAGTACAGGTCATACCTGAACAGACCTGGGACTGAGTTCCTTGTGGGGCTTTCCGCTAGTGCCATTGGGTGGATTTTAAACTAATTTGACACGAGTGTGAGAACCAAGAAAAAATATTAGACAAGAGGTTCACAAAATACAACAGGTAGCACCAGTATAGAGAATAGTCAGAGCAAAGGAGAAAGTAATGAATTCTACATCAGGGTTACTACAATGCAGCTATGTGAATGCACAGAGTGTAGTAAATGAGGCTGGGGAGTTACAGACACAGATTGCCATGTGGAACTGTGATGCTGCGGCAGTGACAGAGACCTGGCTCAATGAAGGGGAAAACTAGATATTAGATATTTCTGGGGACAAGGTATTGAGAAAAGGAAGGAAAGGAGGAGGGGTGTCAGTATTGGTTAAGGACAACATTGCAGTGCTGGAGAAAGAGTATGTCTCAGGGAATTCAAACAGAATTAATTTGGATAGAGCTAAATAACAAAAAAAAGTGCAATTAGATTGTTAGGTGTAGCCTACTGATTACCAACAAGTGCAAAGGATGTAGAGGAACAAATCAAGCAACAAGGAGCTTGGGAACTCTACAGCCTTCTGGAATCAATATAGAGCTCAATAATTTTAGTTAAAAACCAAAAGAACTGCGGATGCTGTAAATTAGAAGCCAAAACAGAAATTGCTGGAAAAGCTCTGCAGATGCTGCCATACCTGCTGAGCTTTTCCAGCAATTTTTGTTTTAGTCAATAATTTTAGGGCCTGAGTAGCCTTTCCCATGTCCTTCTCCAAACCCCCACATACCAGACCTTAGAATAACATGGACTGCTACCACAACCAACTCATTGTCAGCCATTAATGTTCCCCATTAGCAGCTATTGATTTACCCCAGGCTGACCTTTATCCATTCCTCTGTCTGCCCAGTGCTGTTCTCTCTTTGGGCTTTACTTCCACCTATCATTTACACCTCCCACTTTCCCCCACCCCATCTTCAGTATATATACCAACCTTTGCTTTGTTACAATCAGTTCTGAAGAAGAGTCACTGGAGCTGAAAGGTTAACTCTGCTTTCTCTCCACAGATGCTGCTGAACCGGCTGAGTTTTCAAAGCAATTTCGCTTTCTGTTTGTGTCATTCTGTGTGTTTAGACTTGTACGAGGATAGAGGTGATCTAACTTCAAAAGGAATCTAGCAATAAACTACCTGGACCCTGAGACAGTAGGAACTGCAGATGCTGGTGAATCCGAGACAACAAGGTGCAGGGCTGGATGAACACAGCAGGCCAAGCAGCATCATAGGAGCAGAGAGGCTGACGTTTTGGGCCTAGACCCTTCATCAGAAATGGGGGAGGGGAAGGGGGTTCTGAAATAAATAGGGAGAGAGTGGGAGGCGGATAGAAGATGGATAGAGGAGAGGATAGGTGGAGAGGAAACAAACAGGTCGAAGAGGCGGGGATGGAGCCAGTAAAGGTGAGCGTAGGTGGGGAGTTAGGGAGGGGATAGGTCAGTCCAGGGAGGACAGACAGGTCAAGGGGG